TGCGTTCTTAGCGTGTGTTGTTATTGTCGCTTGGGACTCAATTCTCGCGCGTGCGCAGGTGACGACCCTCCCCCGCTTTAACCCGGGCACAAACATTAGTAAAGACTCAAATATTCCGTTAGTTAGTTGAACGTTAAATACACACAATTCACGGCAATGGCATGTTTTAACAATCAATTTAGCCACAGTTTCGATATGTCACTTTTTCTACACTCAAACGACCACGGTGATGTTGGCATCATGTACGTGTCACGACGCTGCAAATAGATACGCCAAGTGATAAGAACTAAAGAGTTCGCCGTATTTGACACCGTCCCATTGTTTTCAACAGATTCTATCTTGTTAAACATCATCTGATTGCTCTTTATTGTAGTTGTGGCCCCAAAACTACAGATTGCATAAACAATCTAACCATCATCTTTTAGCTTCTCGAAATAATTAGCGGCCATACAATATACAGTAAAGATCATGTCGGTGTCAGCATAGGTATTGCACCAAAGAATCATGGGACACTGTTGTTTAGGTTGTCTACAATGTTAATCTATATTTTGTTATCCATTGTAATTTTAATCTAGAAAGTTAATTTGTTGTGAGATTAGGCTTAACTGGAAGTGCCTTTTTAACTCTAGCGGGCGTATACAATGGGTATCTGCTATAAATGTACGATTATATACTATTGTTTAACCGCTTAACAAAAGGAAATACTGGTACTTATGATAAAATGATACGCCGCGCGTTATTTTACGTCATGTCGTACCATTGTTCTGAATGGATATAATAAATGTGTAATTTTCTATGGCTGTTTTCATTACGTAGAGATCTTATTTCTATGGTTTATCTCAACGGGCTTCAGTATCACGTAGTAATGTTGTGAGAGTATGCCACACACTATGGTGTCTCGTTTGTAGCCAGTAGTGAATCACTAGAATCATCCTCCAAATATCTATCTATCTATCTATCACACTACTGCATGTCAGGAAAACGTTTCATGTGAAACACCACGAACTCTAGAACAAAAAAATGCATTATTCTGTATGCACGAAACGGTAAATATGCGTATAATGAATTAACTGCAAACAAGCCTCCAAGTTGTTGATGTAATTGAATGAAAGTTAGGTAAAAAATACCCATCCTGTCCCCTCAACCGACGTCACCGTTGTAATGTTTATATACTTAGCCTAATGTCATGATGACATACCGCCCTCTATAGTTTAAATGAACTTGAGTTTGAATATCATGTATCAGAGTCAGAGGTGAAATAAAGTAGTTCAACACCGGTAATCAGTGTCGTCTGGTTGCATTTCTTTCGTACTCAAATCATGCAATCGTCATGGTTGAAGTTGGTGTAGTAGCTAGAAAATACTGTCACACTCCCTTGGAAATATAACAATTAAAAAATTAACAAAAAAAATCATATTGCAATTGATATACACTTTGTTTTAAATTTTAAATTTACCCACGTATCACGTAATATGCAATGTTGAGAAGACAAATCTAAAGTAGGACCACGTATGTTGGCTGAATGTTATGAGACGCTGTTTGATGTGTCTCGTGCATATTAATATCACGTGACTTGCTTATCAACAGACTAGGTTCCTGTGGAAGTCTGCCAAATTTGAGTTGAAAATACAAGGTCTCTAAGGTCTATGATTGAACATAATTTATATTGATCATTTACATGTTTTAGATGGTATTTTGCGGAAAAACTCACAATATCTTCGCAGATCGACCGAGGTAATATGCCAAACTTGTATCTCTTATCAAAAATGACAACGCCCAATTTTGCGAAAGCACGAGCAAATTGTAACTCGATGTTCACAGAACTTCGAGTTATGGGCAACATACATTTTATTTTTTGTTGAACGTCCACATTTAGTAACTTGAACTTTGATTAACAGTTAACCGAACTCCGAGTTACGGGAACCATATAACATGTTAATTGAACATCGAGTTACAATAAGGGCGTGGTTTCGCAAATGTGGGTGTAGTCTCGAAAACAAATATGGGCGTGGTCATTTTGTGTTCGTAACTCGATGTCCGTAACTCGAACAATCTAGCATCTCATTATTTCAGATTTGAGCATCCCCCATCAAACATAGTGGAACTTTTCAAGTTGATATACAAATACTTGTTTACTTTTCAAACGTTGAAGGCGAGGCCAAACCGAACACCTTAGCAACTTCACTATACCAAATTCTGGAAAAATACCCCTTATTTCTGATTTCACAGTATATGATACCGAACAGCCCACCCCTCCTTGAAAACAAGAACGCGGGTGATTACTGGTACTGTCATGAATTTGTTTTCGCGTATCTGTTGACCGACTTAATTAGTTGATTATTAGCGAATTGCTGTGTTATGTCTGTCATCGTGTAGGCCTATTTGAAGTTTTGGACGGAACTTGGCTCAGTGGTTTGGAACTAATTACAAGATACCGTCGCTATTCTGACGACCGTAGTTATTAATGTAGTGAACGATTAATCAAAAGATATGACGTATTCAGTACTTAGTGTGATTGGCTTTATGATTGAAGGTTACGCCCTAGAGTCTTTTTACTGTTTTGTAATTGGTCAGAGTTTTGAAAATGAATAAAGAGAGTTTGAGTTGGTCTTGGCGAATACTCCACGACAGACGCAGTCGAGAGTCGAGGCAGTCCTGGGGCGAGCCTTGAGGCAGTCCAGTCTTGGGCTAGTCTTGGGTCAGCCTTGCGAGAGTCTTGGGGACTTTTCCCCAGGGCGCTGTGTCTTATAGCTACAGAACTGCAGCTATGTGTCTTATAGAGTGCTCCAAAAGATCGACTAAGACGAGAGCTGAAACGTATTCCGTTGTGTGTGCCTTATTTGACTGTAAAGTTAAAGTGACTTTCCCGATCCCGTACCTCAAGGGGACGAGATAGAGAGACGAGACGAGTTTTCCCCCTGACAAGTGTGGAGACCCCCGAGAGAAAGAGAATTTCCCCTTGATAGTACACTCATTTGTTTCAAAAGTGTCGCCACCGGGTGAAAGAGTAAACGTGAAAAGGTAAAAGAAGCTTGTAAGGTCAAAGTCATTTGCTCTGAAACGAGATGTGAACGTGCATTAAAAAAACGTGATTAGAATGCAGATGAGTGAAATCAACCCATCTAGGTTGGGGTAGTCGCCCCACCCCCAAAGTACCACTATAACGTCGGTTGTAACATTGGGGCGATTTGGTCTTGGCTAAGTAATACCATGGTAATACAAACACCCTGTACAAACACTGAAACCCGGTCCTGAACCAGACCCCGGGAACCGGGCCTTGAAATTTCTCTTTTACCTACACTATGCACGCCAACGGTACACATCCAATGGGCGAATGATATTTCATATATTTGATCTATATGGCACCTGAATTAATAACACAGGCCAAGGACGCCATCTATTCCGTTTCCATGTATAGCACGCGTGTTCTACGTGCATGCCATGCATAATGCACATATGCATTAGGATGTTATAAAATCAAGACCTTAATAGATTACTACAGTTACATATAAAATCCGTAAACTGCACAAAACTTGATTGCGTAAGGTAAACATGATTCAGAGTGGTTGTGTAGTAAAAACATCAGTTATGTTCTCGATGGTGGACGTGGCGCGGGGGATTGGGGGTGCGGTAGGGGTTCGATTATCACACTGACAAATCATTGAGATGTATGGCCACCAGCACCCTCTCATATTCCCCCATGTACTCCGAGACGGGGGGTAGCCCACAAGTGTCAGGACAATTTGATGAGCGGTGTATGATACCGATGAAAGTGTGCAGTTTGGACCTAGAACAGCTTACACTGGAACACAGGTCACCTATCTCGAATTTGACCTAATAGTAAAGGTCAAAAATTCAACTTGAATGACTCAAAAATACATCGAGTTAGAGAATTGATCACGCCCATAGTTTAGAAACACAACCACACCAGAATTATAAGTTGATGTTGAATTAACTGTTCAGTGAAATTCGAGTTATCGTATTAACCCAAGAAAATAAAATTGTTCATGGATCGTACGGGACAGTCAAAATGCGAAAATGGACTATGGTTCTTTTTTTTAGCAGGAACGATCATTCATCATCGCGCCGCTCCAATGAGTTAGTTTTCCCCTACAAAAATCCTTAGATATGGGAGACTTTTTCGAGAAATAATCCATAAATATCATTGGTTAAATTTCGAAAAAAAACAAATTAAGAGAATTTACATTACTTTTCCTAAAAATCTGCATTACGTCCCCGAAAATCTGCTTTTGAGACCCAAATTTTCCTACTACATGGTCGCTATTTTCAGGCGGTAGACCCACAGTCACTTAGTGCTGAAAATGAATAAATACTATTTTTTTTAAATATAAATTTATATGCGTATAGCGGATGACTTTTTAAAAAAACAATAGTATTTATTCATTTTCAGCCCGCAAACCTGAGTAGACCCATTCCTGCTGGCATTAACGTTTTTTCCGTTTATATTTATAATATAAATACTGAAATTGTAGATAATTCAAATAATTTGCACAATAGTTACCTTCGCCAAGTTTCTAAAGCCTTATACAAGTAGTTTATGGAAAAAATTAACATTATTAATCATCCAGTGTCTGTAGTCTCAGAGGGTTAACTCATGAATATTCATGTTTTCACTGAGTGAATCTACGTTCTCCGAGTCATCATATATCGCACGCAGATTGTAGGTGAGTTTCATTGTTTTTTTTAAACTGTTGCACTGCACTTTACACTATATGATTTATGCCTGTACTTTGTCGCTAACACAGCACATTTCAGTAGTGTGACTGAGCATGGCCAGCAAAGGCTTTCTTGATCAGTAGTACGACATTAACATGGTGTCCCTCAGTGTTGAACTGTCATCGCAGCCATTCAAAGAAATTAAGGAATGGTACACACGCGTACCCGTACTGTAATCTCGTAACCTATAATTGATTGTCACTATACGACAACATGACACTAGACGGCTGCGCAGGGTTTCTTATCACTGAAGTAGACGTCCATATGTCTTGTATATATAACACGTACAACAATAATATTGATCAATTGCGGTTTCCATGTGCTAAGCACACGTGGAAAATTCCCGCGAAACGGCTGACACGTGAATCTATTGACATTGTTCCACATAAATGATGTTTCGTGCAATCATCTGTACATTTCTCGCTGTGGATTTTTGTTAAATGTTTAATTCATTCAGACTGTGTTCTGTGTATGAACGGTTCATGCGAGGTCATTCAAGGTCATTTCCTACTTTGTGTTTAATGTGAATGAAATTCCACAAGTTTAATAAATGCCGTGGTATGGGTTGATCACTCTAAACTCCTTGACAGAAGATGGTAGAAGAACTGCAAATTATTTTTCTGATAAATTTTGAAGTATTTTTGCTAAGAGTTCCTTAGGACCCCCTCACTAAAAACTCTACTAACACTGCCCCTCCAGTGCCCATTTCAATTGTGTATACCCTTCTTTGGGTCACTTGTAGTTATTTGGAGGGGCTTATTGAATTATATTAGGGGTTGGGGGTTAGGGTTCAGATTAGAGGTGAGGGGTGCCATTAATGAACTCTTTCCGTATTTTTTTGCCTGAATGTTACTGCCTTTTTTTGAGTGCATGTCTATATCTCTGCTTGTGACAATTTTTTTTTCTTAGAAATAGTTGAGATATTTTTCTGTCATTTTCTCTTTATCATTTTTTTCTCTGTGCAGATATTTCTTCAAATTTGTACCACCCCATTTGAGTTTTTTATGAGAGGGTTAGTGTTACAGCTGTAAAAATTTTAATGAGTCGGTGAAAATAGAAAATAAAAATTTTGTGGCAGTGGAATTTTTTCTGAGATTCTATGACACAAATGCCAGTGATTTTTCTGGAATTTTGTGTTAATAAAATATCTAAATCAGCAAAATTTATAGCAGGGAAAAATGTTTACAATATTAATTACAAGTTCACCTCATATTATTCATTCTTTGGTACAAAAACATGTATTCATTCAAATTACGAATAATTATACTATGAGTTGATGAACTTTCCCAGCACAAATAATGGTTTGAGCCTATGGTAATTTTTATTGAGCTTTTTTTAAATACACATTTTGGTGCCAGGTGACAGTACCCAACCACATTCAGCTGGCGTACATGACATGATACTTAATAAAAAAACAAGGAACTTATCGATATTCACTATATGGGGGGCCGCCATCTTGAATACAATATGAAACTAAATAAAGAGACCCCTTTGCATTTATTTGTTAATAAATCTTGACCAGTGACCTTATGACGAACACTAAAACCATTAATGTTATTGACACGCAGTTAGTGGGAAATCACTCATGAGCAGGGACACTCAGTGATTGTAACAAAATATAAGAACACTGCGGGCATGTATATTTCTGACCCGTGTGACTATCTGGATACTGGTGGTATTAATTTTCAAACATAGTGGTACATTAGCAACAGGTAACTATCTAGTGAGGTGACGTGTTACAATTATACACACCCACGGTGTTGTTGTTGTTGTCACTGTACATCCATGCTTGTGAGTGACAATTAGTCTATGGCATAAACACACACCAAGGGTAGGGCTGAACCTTTGTTTGTGTTCATCCACAGGATTTCCGTCTACAATCACAAGTCCAAGGTCATCAGCTTGTAAGGTTTATGTAACTTGAATGTGTTAACTTAAAATTATATTTTTTTTTTCCAGCTTTGCACGTGGTAATAATTTCTAAAGTGATAACTTTCTGTCTTTCAAAATGGAGTACAGCGCTCGACTTAATAAAAGCATTTACCATTCATACATGACATTGGAACAACCAGAAGATATGATACAATGTATGTATATATGGATAGATGGTACTGGGGAATTTCTGCGTAGTAAAACTAGGACGTTAGATGCATCACCAAAGGACCCAAGTGGTAAGTTTACACTACAATGGAGTTAAAATTTGATATCAAAATTGACCTTGAACTTGAGAACATAGCTGAGTAAGTTTCAGCAAAAAATTTCTACTTCTGTCACTTGCATCAAATTTCAGTACTCAGATTACAACTCTATAAATATATCACGGTTTATTATATTTCACTCCATATTCATGAATATTAATCAGTCTATTTTGCATACTTAATTTTTCTTGATATTATTCAATAGTTTATGCATTGCTATTGTGGTAGTTGTTGTTCTGGGTTCGTTAACAGTTCTACTATCTGGGGTTATTCAACCTTTACCCAGAGTGAATCGTGTACAAATTACAATGGCACTGACTAAGGTTCATTTGTTATCAATCTATTTTCACATTTCCGAAGTATTTTATGTGACTAATTGCATGTTTTTTTTACATGGAGTGAAAAATCAAGAGAAACATAAAGGACTTTCAATGTAAAAATCACTCCCCCAAACAACTACAGCAATAACTTTAAATGTCTTTAAATTTGTCCTTCTCTAGACTTAATTTTTAAGAAGTTTGATGTTTAATTTAGCGAGTTTTCAGTATAACAATAAAAGTTTCTGAATGCATTGTGCTTTATATGCTAAGTACATGTAGTGTGTATTGTAAAATTTGAATTTCTTTCCCACAATGCATTGTATATATGCTAAGTAGTGTAAAATTTGAATTTCTTTCCCACAATGCATTGTATATATGCTAAGTAGTGTAAAATTTGAATTTCTTTCCCACAATGCATTGTATATATGCTAAGTAGTGTAAAATTTGAATTTCTTTCCCACAATGCATTGTATATACGCTCAGTAGTGTAAAATTTGAATTTCTTTCCCACAATGCATTGTATATACGCTTAGTAGTGTAAAATTTGAATTTCTTTCTCATAATGCATTGTATATATGCTAAGTAGTGTAAAATTTGAATTTCTTTCCCACAATGCATTGTATATACGCTTAGTAGTGTAAAATTTAAATTTCTTTCCCATAATGCATTGTATATATGCTAAGTAGTGTAAAATTTGAATTTCGCTCATACATAAGCTCAGTAGGGTATAATTCGATTTTTTTCCCATAATGCATCGCACATATGCTCAGTAACATGCTGAGTAGTGTAAAATTTGAATTTCGTTCCCATAATGCATCGTACATATGCTGAGTAGTGTAAAATTTTAATTTCTTTCCCATAATGCATTGTATATACACTCACTAGTGTGAAATTTAAATTTATCTGGCCAGATGTTGAAGATCAATTTGTGGAAATCTTCTTCCTAATTCTTCATCCATCTTCATCATGTTCCATAACACTTTATTCTGTCTTTACAGAGATTCCAAGCTGGAATTATGATGGGTCGAGTACAGGACAGGCTGAGGGGTCAAACAGCGATATTTATCTCAAACCAGTTGCCATCTACAGAGATCCATTCCGACGAGGGAAAAACATCTTGGCTTTGTGTGAAACGTTTAAATATGACGGACGATTAACCGGTAAGATTATGCTGGATTTTTGTTGGCATTTGTGTACCAAGGTTGTCAATTGGCATTCTATTTGACGTATTTTAATATTTTATCGGTTAAGCTTAGTGAGCTTGTTTCATAATTGCAGGTAACATAGATATAATGATATCCTCAGGTTGTATCACTGTCTGTGTGTCCGTGTAGAATTTTTCGTACCTTATCCTACTGTATTTATCTGGCTAAGAGCCCATGCCCGGACAAACGCCCCCCCCCCACCTCCTTTTGATAAAATAAGGGAGTTGAGGTCATATCCTAGCAAACGCCCAGGAGGTTTTTTTTTCTACACCTGTAATAAAATAAAATAACAAAAACCTTGTTTTGTTCATTGTGATTCTGATAAAAAATGTTGAAAAGTAAATGTCTATTGCGTAATACGAGGTGTGAACGCGAAATAGCTGTGACATAAATAGAGCAGCACGGTTCAAGCAAATCTTACAGTATAATGAGAGCCGCGAAGCAAGTGTCGCACTCATTCGGCTTTAGCGTCGCCGACAATGAAACCAATGTTGCAATATTGTAGCAACCCGTACCCGAGTGGTTGAAAGCATGTTGTTTTGGCTTTATAAAATATTTGCGAATCCATAACTGGGGCAAGCAATTTTGCAATGTCACGCCGAATTCTGCCAACTTCTTTACCATCTTTCATCTCAGCTATTGCCTTTCTGTCACAGAAATTATTCTTCTGTTGTTTAAGAAAAAAAAATCTTTCTAATTCAAACCCACCACAATATCCATAGTGGGACATTCCAACCACCTTAACTTGCTGAATGGTAACTTTCACCATGATTGATGAACGCCTAGTCTGTTAAAAAAAAGCAATGTTGCATTGACCTTTATGATGAAATACTAGTAGTGATGTCATTGTTAGCCAATCGGTAAAGCGGATGCTTAAAAGTCAAAGATGATTGCCAGAGGGTAAACAAAAACATTGTGCGAGTTGTTTGCCGCGACCCCATTTTTCTTATCTCTTTATTCTGTTCAGACATAAAAGTGCCAAGCTGACAGACAGTGAAATCTGTGGATTAAATGTGCTAAGTCCAAATTCTGGGGATTTCAGGATTTTGACTTTTAGTTACGAAGATAGCATTAAATGTACAAATAGAGATCTGAGATGTCTTTTTTTCAGATAACTATAAACTTTTTTAATTTTACTACGTAAATTATTATTGATCTTGTAATTGTATGGCTGTTGATCTGGTATTTGTCAAAACCGGAAATAATTCACGCGTATGGGACAGGAAATTCTAATTCAAATGATTCTTCACTGTTGATTTTTTTTATTTCTGGTTTATTTGTCACATTCTGAGCAATACATTATTTTTGTTTTACTTCTAATGCTGCATATTGTTCATTTATTTCTGTTGCATGTTTTCATTTGCCGTTCTATTCCCTGTCGCAGTTCGATCTGCATGTTGCCAATTTTCGCGATTTTTCTTTTTTTTTGCCGGGGATATCCGGACAAATGCCCACCCGTTCTTTTTGGCGATTTTCCATGTTCAGAACCCTGGGCTCTTACCTGGATAAATACGGTATATGGTCCATTTCTTTTCCCTGGGTATCTTCTTTTGATTCATCCATGAAGAAATTTCAATCATTTTTCTGATTATTCCTCAGAAACTAATCTCCGACATACAAGTAAAGAAATAATGGATAAAGTGAAGGATGACGTTCCATGGTTTGGCATGGAACAGGAATATACATTATTAACCCAAGATGGCCATCCCTTTGGTTGGCCAAAGCAAGGCTATCCTGGACCACAAGGTATATGTAAATTCAGGTTTTATCTACACGAAAACCCATTCACTTCAAACAAGAGTCTTCTACTGGATGGAATAACATTGGAGCATTCCCAAATCACATCATTGCACACTCATTGGCTGGTTGGATTCAACCATTGTCTGCTACAGTGATTTGATTGGGTGTGCCAAATAGCTGGGTCCATCAATTAGCAGGGGATTAGCGGCACCACCAAGTGGGGGAGATAGGGTTTGCCCTACCAGGGTGTGAAGTTTTTGATAATTCTAAGTTAAAATGGAGCATTCTATGGTTTCCTTGGGGCCAAGATTACTATCAGACAGGTCACAGTTGAAGACTGTAGCCACATGTGATTCCTGGTCATTCAGAATTTTATGGTTGCCAGAGGATCTGCTCCCCAGGGTGAGGGGGGTGCATGGCCATGGCATGAGGGCACTGCGCCCAAGTTCTCTTGTTTAAAAAAAATCCCTGATTAGTATTTCTGTAACAACAACTTTAAATCAATAGATTTTGTGGTTTTATATCATGTCATGGCTCAACATATGAAGTGACCCCAAGAAAAAATGAGTCGTTCATTTCCACAATACTTTCACAATGAAGAAACAAACAGGTTCACAACAATACGCATGTTTTATTTACAAAACGATTTACATACCATCTGAATTTATGGTGTAAAAATGATTAGGGTCTGGGGGAGAACAGTCAAACACAAGATCTTTTTCATTATCCTTGAGTAATAAAATAAACAAAAAGAATGCAAACCATGTTGTGTTGTATGCCATGCACTGTGAAGTCAATACACGTTTTTTCATGAAAGCATGAACTTAACGACCCTTGTCAGAGCCACCACACTTTTTCACACATTTCAATAAATTTTAACACATCGTCGACGTAAAACACCCTGGGCCTATGACCTGGTAT